TGTTGTTGTGTAACAATTGCAGCTTGAAGTTTGCAAAAGTGAAATATGGATAAAGATAAAAGTGTAAGGAAAACACATAATGAGTCAAAAATACAACAAAGTCGTATCGTCCTTAATTCTTCAGTCAATCTGAGTGAACGTAACTGTACATAGAAAGGTTTTAAACTCCTGTCACTGTGGCAGTCTGTGTGAGCATTGACATTCTTCTTCTGTGGTGTCGGTATTTTCCTTCCCTGATGGCTTCCTGTGTAGAGTTTAACTCTACACAGGAAACTATAAGACCTTTGAACCCTATCACCCCTACCCCCCTCCTCTGAAACCCTAAAATAAACACCCAGATAACAAACACTGTGGCTGAGCTGATCGTCATTAACCCTTCACTGTCCTGTAAACTCTCTCTGTCTGTTTGACTGTTCTGATTAATCATGTTGTGGAATAAATCTTACCTCTGAGCGGGGTTACCTTGAGTTTGATTTAATTATCCACCTTTTATAACAACAGCCTACGTCGGGCAGAAGTCATGTTTTATTGTTTCTCCGTATCGTCACTGATGTTTCAGGAATATAAAAGGTTCAGAGTTACTAATAAAACCTGTCAATGACTGCCAGGGAGTAGATCCCAGTGGATTGCGTTTAAGTGGTTTGGGATTTTTTTTATGTCATCTGACCGATAAATCACCCTATTATAGAGCAGATAAGTTCCCATTATGCAATAAGAATAAGTAATGTCTTTAAACTGCTCTTCTGTAAAGCGCCTTGTGACAACAATTGTTCTGAGTTGGCACTATACAAATAATGACTGATTGGTGAAGCAACAACAGATGGTTCATATGTAGTTTTTTTGTACACACACATTTCTCTCTTCAGAACCTTGTTTGAGTTCTAAACAGAGATAGTTTTTTCTTGTATCGATCGGGAGGAGACCTTTGCTGATAATGTGAGTCCTGCTTCAGTAAGCTAAGGTCCAAAAAACAAGCTGAGATAACGTTAACATAACCTGCTGCTTGTCACACCACTCATGGCATCTTCTGTTGTTGTTTTTTGGGAAAAAAAATATTTGAAAACAGCGTATCCTGAAGTCTGAAAATGTCCTCAAACTTCCCTTTTCTGTCTGCATACATTTAGTTTTTGACTTGATTCCGTTGCTTCACTTTTTGACAGATATTGATCCACATGTCTCCATGTCTTGTGTGGACTTTCAGACCCAGATCAAAAACTCAGCAGCTGATGAGTTTGTTGAGTCTGGCTGGCTGCTGATCGAAAGCCCTTTGTACCAGGACATGTTTGCATCACATCGCACACGGGCAACCTCTGTGGTAACATGCTAATACACATGCTAATCCACGAGCTTACTTTGCTGTGGCTCAGTTGGTAGAGTCGTCGCCTCTCAACCGGAAGGTCAAGGTTTCGATCCCCAGCTGGGCAACATGTCCGATGTGTCCTTGGGCAAGACACTTAACCCCGAATTGCTGCTTCGGTGGTGGTGTATGAATGGATTAGTTACTTCTGATGGATGATACTACATAGCGATCATCACTACCATCAGTGTGTGAATGGGTGGGTGTGACATGTGGTGTAAAAGCGCTTTGAGTAGTTGGAAGACTAGAAAAGCGCTATATAAGCTCAAGTCCATTTACCATTTACCATTTGCTGTCAGGAACTTTCCCCAGCCTTTCCCCTCAGAGCGTCGCCCATTCATGCTTGGCGGAGATGCAAATCATTTTAAAAAGCAGCACTTGTGATGCGTCAACATGTTGATCAGTATCTGTACTGACTCGCCTCCTTTTGTCTTGTTTCATAATGTGTGGCTGTAGATGTACAGAGTGGTGGAAACTGCAGTGACTCAACAAGAGGTTGTGGTTGAATTGAGTCCCTACTGAACATTTGGTCTTGTACAGTCAAGTAGCTGTGTCTGTTAATGTTGGTTCTCTCTGTCTGATGGATATTCAAAGTGCTCCCTGCACCAAAAAAAGCCCCAAAAAAGTCCATTAGGAGAATCGCCAACATCAGATATGATGCAATTTTACAAACCTGTAAAAATGAAAACAACATAAAAGTGCTGAAAATGAAACACCGGGCAGTCCAAACTTCAGGTCTCCACTTAGAAATTAAACCTGTATTTTAAAAAAAGTCTTAGGCCCTTTTTATTCTTGAAGAAATAACACATCTGTTTAATCGCTCCATTTCCATTTCTAATGGAGTAATCCCCTTACGGTCTGTAAATCTGCAAAACGTAATCCAACTGCATAAGAGGTCGATAGCAACAAACCATTGGCCGATTTCAAAACCACGCTGCGTTGCTAATGTCCTGGAGTCATTACTTAATAATCAGCTCAAAACATTCCTCTCGAGAAACAAATGTAAGTCCACACCAGTCTGGTTTCAGGGCGTTATGAAGCACAGTTCCTGCTATTTTTGCGGTTGTGAATATTATAGTTTCCAGTCGCCATGGGGGAAATATCTTGCTGCTGTCTTTGTCGTTTTAACAAAAGACTTATAGGTTGGGCTCGTAGAAGAGAGGTTATGTAATGCTGGTTCTGATAAGTCGTACTTTTGATGTTACAGCTACTTGTTTTTACCAACATTTACACCAACAAACATGTGAAACTGTTACACGATTAATATAAGAGAGTGCAGGTTAGGTTATGGAGAATCTGTACAGTAAGCATTGTCTAGCATTGTGTGCGTCTGTTGAACAACAAAGTCCAACAAAGGTTTAGTGATAATCATAACTTGCACTGCTGAGGAGTGAGAAAACAAACACACAATCAGGTCAGCTGATTCAGACTGATCCCACACAAACACTCACACACAAACGGTGGGAAACAGAGAGAGAGAGACAGAGAGAGAGAGACAGAGAGAGAGAGAGAGAGAGAGACAGAGAGAGAGAGAGGGGGGGGGGGGAGGGGACTGAAACAGGAGAAGCTGAACTGTATCCAGAACTGATTGGTATTCAGAGAGCGAGTGAGGCTGCTGGGAGACATTCCTGCATCAGGAGAAGAGAGGGGAGGTGTGGTGTAGTGTGGTGTGGGAGGAGGAAGAGGAGGGGGGAGGAAGAGGGTGACTCCATTCATCAGCAAAATCAGGACCGCTCTCTCTGTGTTTCTCTTTCTTTGTGTTTGTTTTCAACTTAAAAGGCAGTGTGTTGTTGTTTTTGAATCAATGATGTAAGACATTGTCAACAACAACATGTCTTGGTAATAACAGCGGATGTCCTTCCGTTTAACCTCAGTGTTGTTCTTTTCCTGGTTCTGAATCAAGTCTAAGAGATGAAAATGAGCTGTGATAATGTTTGTTATGGACCAAGAGTTTATTACAAATACATTGTTGTAGGTGATTACATTTTTCTAAATGGACAGCTTCCAACACCTTGTTTTTCCTTCTTTATACCGACTCCCTCTGGAATACGATAACGAGACTCCTGTTAAAAACACAAACAGACCCTTAACAGTTTAGGGGTAGAGTTTGCCCCCAATACTAAAATGCGACATATTTGAACTACTACACTGAGAAAAATGCAGACTCGCAGAGTTCCCTTGTAAATAAAACAATAAATGAACTGTCTGTAACCATTTTAAGGTTGGCCCAAAACATACCGTCTTTAATGGATGATCTGCTACTGCCTCAGGGTGACTAAAGCTCACCGACTTCTGACTGAAGTTTTGCTGCCAAAACTTCAGTACTGGTTCCACTGGTTCATAGGTTCAACTATGAGACTGCAGTGCCAAAAATATGCAGCTGCAATGTGGGTACATTTTCTTTCTTTCCAATAGGCAGAATTCCTATTAGTCAGACATTTTGTCACATGCTGGTTGGTCAAGCCACGAGTCATCGCCATGTTGGAAGTTTTTGTGCCAAAGGTACTGTATTTTGACAAGAGGGCGGTGTTGAACAGGAATGAGGGGTTTGATACCAATTTATACAAAGAAAAGTTTGGTACCAAATGCGAGGCAAAAAAGCTTGTTAACCACCAGTTGTTTCCACAACATGAGGTTCTTTTAGTGATGTTGGCCAATCAGAGTTGTTCACTGATGAGACTTAAGAAACTTGGTGACTGTAGCTGACTTTCCATATCTCCACCGAAAAATGTGAAGCGCAGACTTCTTGGACATCTGTTAGAATAAAAAACTGTGCAGCAAGCCTGATCTCCTTCGTGCATGGGTGGCTTCTCTCCGGATACTCCGGCTTCCTCCCTCAGTCCAAAGACATGCCTGTTAGGTTAACTGGTGGCTCTTAATTGCCCGTGGGTGGTGAATGTGAGCGTGGCTGGTTGTCTGTCTCTATATGTGAGCCCTGTAATTGACTAGCGACCAGTCCAGGTTGTGCCGCGCCTCTCCCCCAGCTAGCAGCATCAAACTCTCCTTTAGACCAACCATACCCCTAATGATGCACAACTTAATGCCTTACAAAATTCCTCTTCTGTGAAGTTTTTAAGAGCGGGGAAATGAGCAAGAGAGACAAAAACCACTTGTAAACCAGGAAGTAAACATGCCTAATTCTGCTGTAAAGTTTGGCCCCTTGAGGATGCCTCCAAACACGAGTCAATCCCCAACATGGGGTATAATGGGGATTGACTTGTGTTTGGAGCCAGCCTCCAGTGGCCACTCTAGGTACTGCAGTTGTTGGCACTTCTGTCTTTGCTTAATTCTTCAGTTTTTATAAATGTATGTTTTTAGAATACTGAGCCCCCGAAGGCTTAGGTAAGAAGAAAATCTGATGGATTACCATTCTGTAGGCACACTTTCCTAAATGGTGCCCATGGATTTATAAACTGTGCGCACAGTTATGCAAACTTTCAGCACTGTTCAGAAACTGTTTGCACATTTTCATTGCATTGTAATTTTGTGCCCACAGACAGCAAATCCATTTGCACATATTAAAGATTTAAGAACAGCTTTTTAGTTGTTGTTTTTTTTTTTTTTACCTAAGCTTGCGGGGATAGTTGTGACCATGTAAGTTTTTCTTCAGTGATGCTAATGTTTTTTTTTCTGTCTGACACAGATGTGAACTTCCTGTCTCGAGCAGTCACAAAGCGGTGTGGTTCACCAGACAGGGCGTTACAGTCTCCGGCTTCATGGACAAGGATCTGAGTAGAGACATGACAGAACAGAGGAAATCGTCCAAGAGATGACACCATCCAAATACCCCGACATATAAAGGCTGATAGGTTGATTGACAGCTCACCGCCACACGTCCTCCCTCCGGATCCCACCAACTTATCAGCCGTCCAGCCATGATATTGAGGAGGAAGCTGTGCGTTGCCTTGGTGATCGCTGCCATCCTCTTCCTCATGTTCGCCAGTCAGAGCATCCAGAAGAAAAACTTCCTGCCACTATCACTGGCCCTGCCCTTCAGCTGGGCCACGCCCACCAATGAGGAGACAGGTGAGGAGGGAAATGTTCTGACCTGAAGTTTGGCATTGTGGGGAGCAGTATGCGAGGAACACTGGTCTGATGCATACTGTAGATTTTTCCCTGAACCAGTACGACATCCGGGTATTTTTGACATGCTGCTCATCTCGCATGTGTTCTCATGCTGCATTTTGGCCAAATCAGTCATTCTACTAGTAGGCGGTTTCAAAACAGCCTCAGTCTACAATATTGTTCACTGACTCTTCTTCTGTTTATGTTTTCAGTCGTTCAACCAACAGCGCCTCCTGCTGGTCTGACCCATGAACCTCCTGTTAGCCCCCCTCCTCCAAACACCCCTAAACCTGAGGCAGAGGAGGGGTCTTTAGGGGACCCCCAGCAGGATCAGAGGTAACTCATTTGAAGTTAAAGACTCATCTTTGTCTCCCATGATTCCTTGTTCTGTGTCTGTGTGACTCCTCTGGGTTTTCCTCTATCAGCAGGCCGTGTGGTTGCTCTGATTCCTGCATTTCAGACGTGGAGGGCTCAGACTGGTTCAGCAAACGCTATGACCCCAAACAGCAGCCCGTCCTCCGAGAGACTAACAACTTTGACCCGGACGCGATTAAATGGTGGCTGGTAAGGACAAAAGTCCAAGTTAATAATTTAGGTGTTCCTTCAAGAGGCAGAATAGAATAAAATTCTGGTCTGATGATTTATCAGTCTGAGGTTTTAACGGTTATTTCAATAAGGATCACTAAAACAAATCGTATAAGCTCCTTTTGTACACAGTTTACCTGCTAGCTGCTCAATCTAAAGTTTGGCCTTCAAGCTTGTAGTCATTCTTCAAACCTAGTTCTCCATCCAAGCTTCCTCATGTCGTAAAGCTCACATTATATGCTAAATAAACTTTACTATTACTACTATCCTCTAACACTAATATGTGTCTCTAGTCTGTCTACAAACCCCCCAATGATGAGAAAAGTCCATCCTCTCCGTCTTTTGCCTGCTCCACTTTTCAGAAAATGTGTGCTCAATCAGAATCAGATTTATTGGCCAGGTACGCTTACACATACAAGGAATTTAACTTTGGTGAACTGTGCTCTCTTATGTACAGGTACAACATTAAATATCAACAATAAACATAATAAGAAAAGACTAATATTTACATGACTAAATATGAAACAGTGCAGTGGTGAATAGTGCAAAAGATGCTGAAGTAACACGATAAGTAAAATGCAGTTATGTGACAGGTGGGTCAATTAAGATGTCAATTACAGTATTTACATGAATAAGTATGTGTATATTGATCATTTAAATTAAATAATATATGTATACATATATGTATATTCACAGTGACGGTTGGTTTAGAGTCATTTCACCGCGACAGGTCTGACACTCTGTGACTGTTTAGCATTCATCAGAGTGACAGCCTGGGGGAAGAAACTGTTCTTATCAAACAGGCCGTTTGGAGATTTTCCCTTCATGACATCACAAAGGGCAGTAACCCCTCCCCCAGGTGGGTGACACTCCCACAGCTAGGTGTTTGTTCTGCCCTCTGAGTCTGCCTTCTCACCTTAAACAATAGGACATGGAGGGAGAAAGACCGAGTACACCCAAGTCCTTCCAGAGAGGGGGCGTGGTCAGACACAGCTCATTTACATTTAAAGCTACAGACACCGAAACAGCCTGTTCTGAGCAGGGCTAAAATAGAGGGGTTTATAGACATGATCAAACACAGGATCTTTGTGGATTTAGAACAAGAAACTTTACACACATGTTTGGGGAGCTCTGAGAATGATTTAAACTGGTTGAAGAGGAGGAGAATATGTGACCTTTAAAATCTCTTGTAATTAATGCATTTTCATCTTTATGAAACACTATGTCAGTGTGTAAGATTTTAATAAAGTAACTTCACTGCAGATTAAAAAAAAAATCTTCACTGTGTCTTCACTGAGAGCAGTTAAACCATCTGAATCTCTGAACATAGATTTGTTATTTCTAGGCCGAAAAGACAAAGTTAATAAAAAGTGGATGATGTTCATTCAAGTGTTTGTGAAAGTTTGTATTTTTGTGTTTCCCAAAAATGTGTATTTTTGGGAAAGTTAAAGAGTGTGTAAAGTATTTTGTTTTTTGTAGAAACTGTCTGCAGTTTGGATGAAAAGACAAACGTCTGAGTGTTTTTCTTCATTTATAGATTAAGTTCTGCTGCAGAAACCATTAGTAGATTAAAGTCTGTGTGTGTGGCAGGGGGGTACACAATTCTGCTAACCTCATCAGTCTGATCCACAGTGTACAGTGTGTACCAGTATATTGTGTGTATGGGTGCTTCATGCTGTGGTTATACTGACACTAAAAACATTAGAACAAAAATTAATACTAATTAAAATAGATTACAAACAACAAATTATACAGACTGGTTTTGCTTATATAAAGTACATTTTTATGCCAAAAGATGAATCTTATTTAATTGCGTTTAATCGCTAAATTTCATTAGAACACGTATCATAACACTCTGGTAAAGCCTTACATTACTATGTATGCTATAACTTACAGACTTAATGTGGGAATGTCTAAACTTTTGGACAAACATCCATACAGTCTCAAACATTAACTGGTTAGATTTCAGGGGTCAGAGTGTGACCTTTTAGTTTGGCCCATTCTTGATATCTCAGCAACGAGGGAATCTTATCACATTTGGTGGACTTTTATTTAGTATTAGAAAAACAAAACATTTATATAAGAAGATAAATAAATTAATCAAAAAATGATCTCCTCTGGTGCACAGGGTCTCCAGCGGTCAGGAACCGACCAGACCTTGGAGGGAGTCATTTCAAAGATGTTCAAGGTGATTTCTCCGCCCACTGAGGACTTCAGGCCCCTTCCCTCTCGTTGCCGTAGATGTGCTGTGGTCGGCAACTCTGGCAACCTACGGAAGTCAGGACACGGCAGCCTGATCAACTCCCATGACTTCATATTTCGGTAAAACTGTCTGCACACTCATAAACACAGATTTCTAACTGTTGAGATGTTCTACAGTGTGTTGCCTTAAGGAGCAGTTTATCTCTTTTATAGATAGATACAGATTTTTATGCTGGTCCTGGTGATGTCTTTTCAAAATGGTAGCCAAGCGGTGCATGGATTCAAGGTATAAAAGCCAAAAAATAAATCTTAAAAAAGCAAAGTTAGACAATAAATATTCCTTAAGCTGACTTGCAGCTAATAAGCTTCCAACCAAAGAGTGTATAAGAAGGTACTCCGCATGACAGCTCCCCAAAAGTAAAGCCTAAACATTTGTAGCTCCCCCTGGTGGCCCATAATGCAAGTCAAATAATTTTTTCTCAAAAATGGTTTCTGCAATTATAGTAATTTATTATCATGCTTATTTATTCCCGAGTATTATGTTTTCTGAGAAATTTGGTTTTTATTAGATTTTTGACTCTATGATAAGGGATATAACACCATGATAAACAGCTCTGTTGACAAATGTGGCCCCTGCAGTGAGAGGATCCAGAACAAACACAGACAAAAGAGTCAATTAACTTTCCATAACTGTGAGTGTCTGCATCAAACATACGCAAGAATCTGTTCTGCTTTGGATCCTACCAACCTCGGGGATCTTTGAAGTTTGATCAATAGGTTTAAAGTTTGTTAATCCCATCTCTTCTTCTGAGTTTGGTTAGCCAAAGAGGTGGAGGCTCCACCAGCTCTAAATGACATCACCAGCTTAAGATGTTAGGGCCCATCTCTGGGGGGTATTTTGGCTTCACTTTTTGTAAAAAAAAAAAAAAAGGGAGAAGCTGGAGATGTGTCCATTTGTATATTCATGATCATGATCGATTCTAAACCCTCCTCTTCATCATCACCCTTGCTTTTCTCCTCCCACAGGATGAACAAAGCGGTGACCCAGGGATTTGAGAAAGACGTTGGAAATCGAACCACTTATCACTTGTTATACCCAGAGAGCGCGGTGGATCTTAGCCGTGGCGTCGGACTCATCCTGCTGCCGTTCAAACTGAGAGACCTGGAGTGGCTGACCAGCGCGCTGTCCACCGGAGAAGTTAAGATGTAAGAAATGCAGAAGCAAATATTCTGAATCTACAATTCCCTCTCAATTTGTTACCAAGCTTTAAACAAACAACGAGGCAACATGAAGGAATATTTTCATTATCCTTCAATACCAGCGAGGGCCATGTGCAATATTAATAATCTGTGATGCAATCTCACTTTTACTTTGATGTGTTTCACATTTTTTGAGGCTCTGTGATATAACTCAAATTTACTGTACTTTAGATTTGTAGAGATCCAGAAATTGAATGAAGTTCTGTCATCTTATCAAATGAAATAAATGACCTCTGCCACTTTAAATGTAAATATGTAGAATTTAATAACAATATTTACTTTCAAATATCTAAATTAATTAAACATGGGCCTTTGTTATATATTATTTTTTGTTGAGTACTTACATTACCTCAAATAGTTCTGTGTATATGTGTATATTTCTTATGTGTGTTTATCTGTGTGTGTGTGTGTGTGTGTGTTCAGGACCTACATGAGAGTCAAAGACAGAGTGGCGGCGGATAAAGACAAGGTAAAATAAACCCTTCATCCTGCTCTCTGTTTGTTGTTTTAATCTGAACTTCTTCCTGCGTTTATTCTGCCTCTGCCTTCATTTTGTCTCGTCTCGAGGGAGTTCATGTTTCTCTTCTCTAAAGATTGTTGGATGATTAAGGTTAAAGATTTGGCGTTCTGGATTTGTTTTCCAGAGTTTGTAAATTCAAAACGTGTGTGTGTGTGTGTGTGTGTGTTGCAGGTTCTCGTGGTCAACCCGGTCTTCTTTAAGTACGTGTGTGATCACTGGACTGAACGTCACGGTCGGTACCCGTCTACCGGCATGCTGGCTATCATTTTCGCCCTGCACACCTGTGACCAGGTAAGAGAGGGAGGGGGCGGAGCCTGTGGCTTCATGTCGGACACTCGCATACTTTCATTTATTTTTTGCAACATTGAAAGAACAATCAGATTTCCGTCTTAAATACTGTTGAAACATTTTCACACAGCTGAGTGTGTTAACGGCATCACTTCCTGTTTGTGTTCAGGTCTCTGTGTTCGGTTACGGCGCCGACCAGCAGGGTAACTGGCATCACTACTGGGAGCAGAACCGCTACGCCGGAGCCTTCAAGAAGACGGGCGTCCACAGCGCTGACTTTGAAACACAGGTCATCCAACAGCTCGCCAAGGAGGGCAAGATCAGTCTGCACCTGTGACACAACCACTGACCTGCAGCACCTGCTGGTCTACAGACCGTCGCGCTGGCCGACTGTTTGTTTTTAAACAACTAGATCCTTCACCGCTTAATTCATGAGACAGATAACGAGTTAAATCACGTCTGGGTGATTGCGGCAAAGTGTCGTGACCTCTGGCACTGGAAATTACATTTCTGCGCTGGGTGTGGCGGCCAGATTTTGCTCCTTTCTGAGGAAGTAGGATATTGAGACAGGAGTCAAACCTGTGTACTTCTTGCACGTCAATCATTTAAACTGCCTTAAGTCAGCCATCGAGAAAGAGACATTTTTACAGACTTGGATTATTTGTAGACAGAGCCCTTTATGAGCAGGGAGAGCTAGACACGCCCTCTTTCAAGTGGGCGGGGCTTATAAAGTCAAACTGGATCTTCGAGGCTTGCCACTCTTCAAACAGACTTTCCTGCCATTTGCGACTGCGAGGATCGACCACAAAAGTTTTGCTCTGAGCGGGAAACAACCACAGACGTTTTTTTTTGTATATCTTATTTCAAATGTAACTTTATAGACATTATACAGGGATAACCTCTTTTATATTCAAAGCACTTTTGTCCTGAAGAAGAAAAGGTACAAAGACGCAATGTTGTTGCTTTTTGTTTTCCAAACAGATTTTTTTTTCATATTTTATATCATTGATAATCCATCCATGTGTTCGAGTTTGAATCTTAGCCCAATCCGTCCTGATTCAGAGGATGTTGTCCATCCTTTCTGTCTTGAACTTGAAACAGGACGACAAAGTTTTTTAAAAATATTTTTAGGATTTCTGATTTTTTGTCTTCCTATGCCGTTGACTCTTCCTGTTTCGACTATATATGGAGCTGAAGGCTGAGTGGGAGGAGCCTGTGTGAAGTCCTCAGCCTGTGTTTGAGCAACAGTCTGCAGGTTTTCAGAATATTTAAAAAAAAAAAAAGAGAGAAACATTGTTTGAGTATTTTTTTTTATACTATTTTAGACATTGTGGCTCAAAAAAAAATTGAGATTGAGATTAAGATACGACTCATTAAAAAGCTGCAGGCTGTTGAAGGTCTCTGACAAAGTGAAGAAGACGAGGAAATCATGCGTGACCTTAAAGTAAAGACGTATTGCACAAAAACCTAACGAGGACAAAGTCAAACAATCAGTAACATCACCGCTGTGAGTGATGCATGGATGAGTGCAATGTACTTTTAATAGAAACGATCTGGAGTGCAACCAAAAAAACAATCAACAATACGAATGAAGAGAGATGGACCAGCGGAGGAGCCTGCTGTGGTCTGCTGGAGCTAATGGGAGACGGCAAGTGGCGGTGCCGTCTCACCCGTACTGTGAATGTTGCTGATTGTCAATCACAGTCGTCTGAATGTTTGTGGCCTTATCCGCGGAGCCCGAGGAGTCTCAAGATGTTTTCACACTGTTGTCGGTTTGAGTCTGAATCTGAGTTCTTTCTCCCAGAGTCTCTTCCAGCTGCTCTTTTGCAAATCCTTTGGTCCTCCTCATGGCCGTCTGCAACAAGCAACAAAACAAATAGATGCCGATCTTGGAACCCACAGGCTATTATCTCACACCAAAAAAAATAGTCTACGAGAGTGAGGGACAAGTTTATTTGGCTTCCTGTGTAGCTTCAGGAAGCGAGTAAAGACTTCCCTCTCCGTGTGTCGTACTGCGTACTCTGACATGCAACTTGAGACGTGAGAATGAATGTAGTGTTGAGTAATGACATTTTAAAGCCGATTAACAGCTGCAAATCTGTTTTTGTTTTTTATTAATTAAAGCTAAATTCTTATTAGATGGCTGCCGATGGGTTTTTCGGATTGCATCATGATGTGTTGCTTTCTCCTCATTGTGCTCTCAACATGAAATATTTCTTAAATACTATCAAAGACACCAGAAATGCTAGTAAAAAAAAGAATTCTCTGACTACAAACAGACACGTAACACTTTTGTTTGGTGGTGACTGATTATCATAAAATATATCTGGCCCAAAATCTGACTTATTTTAATCCACTGTCTTAAAACAAAAGAGATAAATGTTGTTTGTATTGCAGCATCTTTTTGACAGGGGCATATGGGTGAAATCAAGTTCTACTTGTAGTCGTCTGGTTGGCTGTAAGGCTTCAAGCATCACCTTTTTTGCATAGATAGTTTAACTTCTGTGGCTCCAAAATGTCATCACATTTTGCATCAGTCTTTTGTTTCCGTCTACAGACTCAATGTTTCCAGGGGGATTACGAGGTACTTTTCGACTGTTAATGTTGATATTACTTAATTTGTCAGATTCAGACCAACCTACCTGTGTGAAATCGCTCAGTCTGCTTCAGACGACAAACTTGCTTTTTCAGCGTCTATAAAGTGGGAAGGAAATCACACATATGGACATTTTTATAACATATTTCTCTCAGTGTTTTGGCCTCTTGTTCACATGCAAACTGAGTTTTAACTCACTGGGTCAGATCCCTTTCTGCTCACTGGAGCACCGCTGAATATATTTCAGCTTTGGGGGGGAAAAAAAGAGTTTAAATGGAGTTAAATAACCCAGAATTGTTGTTGACAAAACAAACAACAACGTGGTCCTTTAGTGCCATAACTTCTGTTGCTATCAAATAACTTCCAGCTTGGACAGTTATATGATTTAATGCAACATGAATCTGTTTCTGTCCCATCAGTCTCCCCTGACTCCTGAGTGTTCATGAAATCCATCTGGTAAAGGGAGCAGGGGCGTATCCAGAGGGGTGGCATGGGCCCCCCCTGAAATCTTATTCAGGGGGGGAAACAAAGTCAACAAAGTCACACCTAAACGAAGCGAGGTATTTCAAGAAGTGACAGCATGTCTGACACTGACAATTTTTCCGCAGTGTGGGACGTATAAAAGGCGGTTCTAAAAGAAAAAAAAATCCAGGACTTGATTGTCTGGAAAATGTCAGGAGTTCATGTGTGAGAGTGTCTTAATTTAATTCAGATTTTATTTCACCAATAACTGGCCAAGAATGCTGGTTTGAGTAATTTTACGTTCTTGTGTTTTATGTTCAACTTCTTTAATATATAACCTGAAAAATATCATTTTTTTTAAATATCCATTAGTGTGTGAACAAAGCCTAAGTGTGTCCAACAAGTGTTTGTCATTCAAGCCCTGAATGGAGACGAATGGGACTAACTGAGAGCTTTTTTAGACAGTGTTCCCTCAAAGACATTAAAAAGGTCAGCTGTCTAAAAGGGAGCTTTCAGACGCTGTTAGGCGATCCCTCCACTCTCCGTTTGAAGCAGACTGAGGACCTCTATAAATAATCAGAAATGCTGAATCATCAAGTGGAGGCTGCTGCTCTGGCCGGGTTAAAGAGTTTAAACCTGTATGTGTGGAAGTGTCTTTAAACCCGATACCATAAACTGAGGTTTAATGTGAAACATCTGCTGCTTGTTTTTGTAGTTTTGGTTCATGCTGTGGTTTAACTCTTTGTTGGCTCTTTTGGGAAAACTTCCTGAGAAATTATCTACTTTATGAGGAACGTCGAGTCGCTTTAATGACAGAGCAGCAGCCCTCTGAGCTGGTCTCAACATCTGGACTCAATGTTTTTTGGAATTTACAGACTCAAGTTAAAGATCCTCACGCTGGAAAAATGAAGTTTTTTTTGTGAGTTTAAATCCAAAGTTGTGTTTCATAGTCTTCATGCACTCTGAATATTTAGAGATGATTTCAATCAAGGATGCACACGGTTGCAGATTAATTCAATGTGCTGCTTGTGTTTCATAGTGTAAGACTGTTTGTAGGCTTAGAGCAGACCAAACGGGGTGTATGTTTTATGTTTTTTCAGTTTTCATAGCTTTAATTAAGCTCTTCATGTTTAAACTGTGACTGTGTTTGTTCAAGAAAAATGTCACTTCCATTTAACACAGAACCTGCTGATCATCACGTCATTTATTCATGTTTACAAACAGTGATATTCACTGTGTCATTAAAAACGACATGAACCCACCACTGTCACTTTGAATGAAATAAAAATGAAAGAAAGAAATACAATCTGTGCTTTTTTTAAAATGTCCTCCTTTGAACAAAACAAGAAGTTAAAGCGGTCACATTGAAGCCCATAGTACGGAGGCCCACAGCGGACACTTTTCATGCTTTTAATTTACTCTGTTTGTTTCCATGGTAACGAGGATAGCAGTTGTTTTCACAAGATCTCAGCTTGTTTCTGTTGTGATCTTGCGATAACAGCGCTGGTTTGCCTTTTATAACAAACTGATATGTTGTTTTCTCAAGATGGCAACTTACTTTCTCGTACCTGGGGAAAACAACACTCTTTTTTCCCCGAGATAACGAGATCATTTTGTGGTAATCTTGAAAACAAAACAATAGTAATTCGTACCTACTGGCAGTAATTCGTAACTGAAACTAGTTATCGAGGCTTTAGTTTGTCCTGTGCTCTTGAAGGCAGCTTGAAGCATCAGATGTGACTCATTTCAGGCTCAGACTGAGGGAAGTTACCTGAATTAGCAGCAAACACCTGGAATTAATCCTTTAGTTTCACATTTACAACAATCCTTTGTGCTCTGGTTATATGTTGGATCTTGTAAGCCCCTCCCCCAAAAGGAGGCGGAGCCTGAACTGGGACAGTAAAGGCCCTGACTCACCAAGGAGCTCGTCGGCCGTCAGTCCTAGTTGGACAAGAAAGTGAGCGATCATTGCACTAGATTTTGCGATGTGTCCAGCTCTGTCGTTACCCATCGGCCCCCGTCTGCTTTTTCGGCCAATTCGACATGTTGAATCATTGCAGTCAGTGTTGGCGCGATTGGTGAGAGGGATCTCTCTGATTGGCTGTTCGAAGGTTTCAATTAACTCCAGCTATCAACATAGGTTCAGGAAATCCCCTTGAGCATGTCGCTGTAGTATCCATGCTTTCACCCATTAGTGCGGTTACTCCTTATTTGTCGTCTCGGCCTCTTCTTTTCTTTTTCCACTAAAAGCCCAGGGGCTGACAACAACAGTGCCATTTTTAACATTTTATCAGACATTATTCTCGTTTAGAAGTACCTAGAATGATGGGCGTTCAAACTGTGTGAAAATGGTCTTCCCATAACATAACAACGGACTACCGCCGCCTGCTGGCATGGAGAGTTATTTCTCTCACGTATGCGCAGAACATACATGGTGGTTGGCCACTGACTGTAGTCTTTTTGGCCAAGACACAGGCATTGTGAGGCGACGCCACCGCCACAGTCGGCCTTCGTTGCCACTAGTTCTTTGCCGTCTGCTTGGTGTGTCAGGGCCTTAACGCATCGTGCAGTTGTTGGTTTGAAGTTACCTGCAGCTGACTGTGCTCATTATAAAAATTAAATAATTGTTTCTCAACATCAGCATTGAATAACAGCTTAAATGTGTCACAACAGAGAAAGACGTGTTTAATGTTATAAAAGACCCCTTCAAATTAAGAACATGTTGTAACATGCCGCTGTATATCTTTACTGACGCTTTGTGATGTATTCTGTAATCAAAGGCAGTTGGAGGGATTAAATGTCCCATTTCAGGCTCAGACGGACTGATGTTACCTGAATTAGAAGCCAAAAGCTTGTATTTATCATTCAGTTTCACCTACCTCAAAATCCCATGTGCTATGGTCACCAGCTTGATCTTGTCAGCCCCGCCCCCAAAAGGAGGCAGAGCCAGAACTGGGGTCAGTAACATTTCGTGCAGTTGTTATTTTGAAGTTCTTGTCATTTGCTGTGCTCATATTAAAAAATATTTTAAATAGATAAATAAATAATTAAGTGTCTTGTCAACATCAGCGTTGAATCACAGCTGATCAGTCTGTGTGAAGATGTCTCCATGACAACATTTTTTATGTGACCTTAGAGAGTCCTGGGAGTTTGAATTGGGCCTGAAAGTACAACCTGGTCCATAATACATCAATGGATTCAGCTTTGGCTGCTCAGTCCTGATCCAATTTGGTTCTTTTTCGGTTCACCTGAGCTCCAGGTTCTGGTTCTCCATTCGGACAGGTGTGGTCTAGATCTGAACAGGTCCCAGTCTGGCATCGCTTCTGCTTTGGTGTAATATAATCCAGGTTCATGTCAGTCTGTAAGCAGCTGGACGAAGGACGACGGGAATAAACCTCTCTGGTCCGGTTCCTCCTCGATGTACCCATGCTAAACACACACAGACACAAAAACAAATGCATATATATCAGAGTCACAGTCAGGTGAACATAAACGGTACAAGGATACGTCTGTTCACAGTCCATCTGACCACCTCTCAGAGTGCAGGATGATACTCACCCACCAATCACTGTCCTCCTGTCCCAGCACCACTAGCACCTGACCCTCACAGAAGCTCAGCTCGTCATGGTGATCGGCCTGACAGTCGTACAGAGCTTCAACTCGACGACTCGTTGAGCCTCGAGGCTGAGGAACATAAAATGATAAATCGACACTTATTGTATTTATAATGGAAATAAAAGAGTATGTTTTTTTTTTTTCAGAGGATCTCACCAATGATCTGCGAGGAAGCGGCTGGGGGGCGGGGCCTCTGTCATTGTCAAAGCTCTGAGAGCGATGATTGGTAGGGGACCGGTTGGGTGCAGCTTTACTGGCAGGGTGCAGAAAGTGGGAGGAGCTATTGTCACTGTCTGCCCTCCGGAAACCTCAAAGAGAGAGAGACAAGGATAGAAAATTGAATGTAGAAATCCAAATGTAAAAGGAAAATGTCATTCATTTAGGAAGAGCCACTTTTTGTGTGAACATAAAATTCATGAGATTCAGGATTAACTATATTTGTCCCACAAAGTGGTACATTTGTCTCGGTCTCTTCACCCATGCTGCAGCCATAAAAAGACAACAATCAACATCATTCACATTTTTAAAAAAAACTTAATAATATAAATAACATCAGGTTCTTAAAATACCAGTACAAAAACAGAAAGTCAAATTATAGTACAGTGCCTATCCTGTTTGCTTTTTTTTGTTGTAGGCTGGGGGTGGAGATACCAGGGGAGGTAGGGGATTTTTCTTTTAACCAAAATCCCACTGAGATGTCACAAGGAGAGCAAATTTAAAACGGAGCATTTGTCTCTGTGCTGTAAGACTCATGCAGACCACAAACAAAGGATTTATTTCACATTTTGTGGGTTGGTAGACACTCAGGTTACCCAAATATATGTTCAAAAACACTGTACAAGTGGATTTTTCATATTATGTCCCCTTTCACTGTTTTTTATTGTGAGCGAACAACGCGTTTAAAGACTGCGCCACCAGTGCCCCATATCTTTTGATTTTTTAATTAATTTTTTTTTACTATCATTTAAGAAAGTATAAAAATAGAGATTGTCAGCACAGTTTGGGATTATTTCTCTAGACTGATAAGATAATTTTATAGCTCATTCAATAACTTTTTATCTTTTTAAAGACAGCAAACACTCAAATGAAATTAGGGAAGAAAAAGCGAACTAATGTGTTTAAAATATTAGATCACAAACTATAATTTAAACTCTAACTTTATTGGCCCCCGGCTGCTCGTCCTCTGCTGGTTTGAGCTCCTGAGCACACACAGAGAATTAAAACAAATACACAGTTGCACAAGAGAGCGTCATCAGACTCCTGACTGATAAAACAGACGAGAACACAAGAGAGGGAAAACATTTTTTTATGTCTGTGGACAGGAAGTACCTCTCTCTGGTCGTTCAGTCAGCGAGCTGAGAGGAGACGATGGACTGGAGAGAGAGAGACAGAAAGGGGAAACATTACAGACGTCAATCCGTATGACATGTAATTCACATTCACTCCACTAGAGGTCAGTACAGTCTCACGGTTCAGCGGAAGAACAGCAGAAACAAAGTCCTGAATGAAATCTTAAAATGATCCTCTGGTCATTTTAGTGAAGAAAATGTGAATCACTCGTTTTTTAAATATTAAAAGAACAGAAATTAACAACATTTTAGGGCTCAGAAATGTTGCCAAGGTTTCTGAGCCTTGAATGTTAGTTCAAGAAAATAAAATACATGTTTGTAGATGAAACTAACAAAAGGTCTCTTACAAGTAAAGAAGCTTTTAAACTGGGCAAATTCACCTTCATATATAACCTTTTTAGAGAAACTGACTTAAGGTTTAAGAAGCTTTTTAGATGCTGCCAGTCTCGTCACAAACCTTTTTAAACGAGAGGCTTCAAGTATTTCTCCCTAATTTAAAGATAAGCATCCAAACCTATTTTGAGCTTTATCCATTACACTCCAGGTATAAAGGTCACTATGCATATTTTTAACATATCATACTTCTTGTTCTTTTTTCATTCAAGCTAGTTCCCCTTCTGCATTCAAACCTTCTGAGACTTAAATTTCCCTGGATTTAATCCCTGCTCTAAAGCATGCAATCCCACATTCACACTTGAAAGCTTGCAACTGAAGTATCTAAGATTTGGAGTGACATTTATTTTGAATTATTTGTATTTTGTCTGCAGAGAACAGATTTCCCTCAAAAAAATGCTTTAAGATGTCTGTCTGATCTGCCTTTCTGATGTTGAAGGATTCAATTAGCCAGATGTGTTTTTGTGAGAAAATGTAAAAATGTCAGTCCCTTGAAAGACATTTTTTCCAGTTTGTGTGATGGGTGTTCTTTTTTGTTTCTACACAGTGAAATCCTTTTCTTTGCGGTCCAAGAGAAAAGAGTGAAAAGAGAGAACGGCCATTTTTCTTGGGTGTCTCTACGGTTTGATTGTCTCAGATACTTACACACACTTCCTAAAGGAGGAGTCTGGACCGCTGTAGATCCTGGGACTGGTTGGCAACCCGTAATCTACACACACACACACACACACACACACACACACACACACACACACACACACACACACACACAGTTAATTACACAGCCTCTCTGACAGATTAATTACAGCGTGTCTCTCAGATTTTACCGTGCTTGCTGGACTCGGAGCAGGTCCTCTTGTGCCGTACAGCGATGGGAGGTGGAGTCGACTTCCTGTTTCCTGTCATGGGGAAGAAAACCTCGCCTTCCTCC